TTTTTCCCCCGCTCTCCACTCTCCTTCCTTTCCCTTCTTGCTTCCGCTTCTGATTGGGCAGTCTTCTCTCTTCCTCTCCTCTGATTGGGCAGCAGCCCTTCCTTCTGTTCTCTCTCCCGTCCCCCATTCTTCTTCCTCTTCTTCCTCAATTATTTTTAAAATCACTAAATGATAAACAAAATATATCATTATAAAAATGTATAAATATATAAATAGCGACTAAACAAAAGTGCTTCTCGGTTTTATAATTCCGTAACGTCGAGTACTTCAAGAAAACGCTAAGTATTAATTTATACACCACGCTATACGTTGGTCAATGGATGTCAAGACCCTCGCCTCTAAAGGCATTTTCGTAAAATCACACTTTTAAATTTTGTAAAAAAAAACGTAAGATTTAGGACGGGTTGTCACAATACTACCCAATTTCATAGGAGGCCAACCCAGCAATGCCTTTTCCATTCTTATTCATCTTATGAGATTTACTTTTGCTCTGTTAGGTTCCTCACAGTTGCCATGTTTTAGCAAAAATCCTCTTTTTTGTTAGCAAAAGGCTTAAGACAGAGAAAATGAGATTGGCTATGATGACCCAATGAAATTCAAGCTTAACAGACCGGATTGTAGACTTCTCTTTTTAGACAATGTTAGGGTTTTAATCCTAAGTCAATTTAATTTATAAAAAATAAAAATGAGTATTGTAAGATTTAAAAAATGTGGGGGTGTATAAAAAATGTGGGGTGTATGTGGAAAATATTAGGTGTATGAGAATGTGGGGTGTAAGGGTATTATGAGAAGGTATATGGGGTGTATTAAGATAATTTTTAATTGAAAAAGAAAATGTGGGATGTATTAAGTATATGGGGTTTAATCAATAATATGTGGGATGTTAATAGAATAAGCCTTTTTTTATTTTTGTTTTTGAAATAGAAGGAGAGAAGAAGAGAGTGATAGAGAATGCGGAAGTGGGAAGTTTTTTTTTATTATTTTTTATTATTTATTTATTTTTAATTAGAGATATGTTAGGATTACATATAGGTGAGGCTTTGAAAAAAAACTGCAAAATTTGGTTGCGTAAAATTACATTTCTGCCCCATATTTCTTATTCATGTTCTATATTAATTATAGGGTTAAACTAGTAATTTCAGAGGATTTTGGTTGACAATGAGTGTTTTATTAATTAGTAGAGATAATAATAAGGGAGGAGATGCTGAAGGTTCTGTAGGAAGATGATTTGAACTAAGGAGGGTAAAGACATGAAACAAAAAAAGGTTGGAGCCCATATTTTTGGCTACTTATTTTGACCCAACAACAAAGGCATGTAGGCCTAATAAAGAAGTCACTTGGGCTGAAGTATATACAAGAAAAAGAGGAGTATAAAATTTTCAATTTCTTTTATTCCTGAATGAGTCGACAGAGACTAAGGTACCTCATTCGGCAACGGAGACTTGGGCGACTCCCACTGTATGCTAATACATTTCGGTACTCAAAAGTTTCGTAATTATTTAAGTGACTTGGATTTTTCAAGTTTCCAACTGAGAAACTTTCCTTACTCGGGAACTTGAGAGCACTGGTTATACTATACTTCACCAATCCCAAAACTACCGAACACCGACCAACTTCATACCTTCAGGGACCCACTGAAGGATTCATGTTGAGGCACTTTTGCTGAAGCATAAGTGTTTCTCTCTAACCAGAAGGCCAATCACATCATGACAAGTGGCAACATCAGAATATAACTCCTAAAGTCTCACATCGACTGCAGACGAAAGTCAGAAACTTTCCTCAATAATAAAAGAATATCATTCTCCTACAATTATCCCCTAATGCCACTATTGTACTTAAACTTATAATTAGAGCTCACTAATGATGATTATGCTTGAACCTGTGTATTGTGTAAACTCTTCACTATTAGGCCTCGTTTAGTGAGTTGTATATAGGATTGGATAGGACCAATAATACGGACCCGGTCATTTGGTGTCCTCTTGTATTAAATAGTCGTCGGATTAATTTAGTCAGTCTGCTTATTTAGTAGGGTATACACCAGCATAATAAACCTTTCCAAAATGAGTGGATTATTAGTCTGGTTCCTTTCCTTCTTTCTCACACTTCGTTCTCCATGACACCTAATCTCGTCGTTGTCATTCTCGCCGTCGTCCCTTTTGCCATCGTCATTCTCGCCGACGTTGTTCTCCCCGTCGTCTTTCTTAATGGCACCATCAATGCCTACGGGCGCCATGTCATCATATGCTATAAAAGCCCCAAGGCCTGGCCGTCGTGCATCGAAGTCTTTAAGTCTGATCCGCTCTTTAAGATCTTCCAGCTCAATTTGTTAGCGTTTCTGATCGCGTTTTCTTAACGTTCTTATTTTCTGGAACTACTGAGTTCTGGTGTTGAGCTGAGTTGACTCCGTTACTCACTTTGTCTTCTTGGTTTTTGATAGACGATGTTAACAGTAGCTCTAAGAACTGTAAGGAGATGGGGAATAAGGGTGTTGGGGGTGCAGCGGAGAGATCTAGGGAAGACAAGACTGAAGAGACGATTTCAATTTTTTTTTAATTTTATTTTAAGTTTGATTTAAATAAAGGAAGATTTTGTTCTTTTTTAATTTGACCCATTTGGTGGTCTTGAATGTGTAAATTTTTTTTTTTCCCATCTTTTTCCATTAATCATCAATTTTTATCTTAGAAGTAATAATACTTTGAATTCCTCCTATTCGGTATAGTAACAGTATAAATAATACGGTCGTTAGTCCGATACTACACCAAACGTCAGACAAATTTAGTCATTACTATCCGATGACTATTTATCCTATACGATTGAAATAGTTAGTACAATCCAAGCTGCCAAACGGGGCCTTAATGTGAACTCATCTACCCTCATGGACATAACCCAACTTAGAATGAACCATGTACATCTTGTGTTTGCCTCCCTATATCTATCTCTTTACATATTTACCTGCACTTAGTGACTGGGACAATCATGCGAAGGTCACAAACTTGAAACTTTACGTTATTCCAAAGTCTCATTAATTTTGTGCATCAACAGAGGATAACTAGAAACACACAAGATTTATACTTGTCTGACATAACTTTTTTCCCACGTCTATTGTGAATTCTCTGGGTAGAGAAACCATGGCTTCTTTGATTAATAATAAGGTATACAATATTTTTGCAAACCCTATAACTAATACCTCTCTTCTCTCTAAGCTCTCTCTGTTTTTCTCTCTGTGCTTTTTAGCTTTGCCGCATCCTATTTATAAGTACAAGTTGCGGTTTACATCTTATAATTTAATTACATTTTCCTATGCTACATGAGATAGGGAAGTACACTTTCTTTTCTATTCCAATATTTTTTTTTTTTTATGCAAAAAAGAAATTCATTAAAGCACAAAACCTTTAGTACAACCGTTTCCAATACAATCAAAATTAAAGGCAAGAAGAGCAACATCAGGTAAGTAGAAATCCCAATAATGAGGATACGAGAGGGAGAGACCAAGGTGAGCTAAAGCATCTGCAACAAATTTGCCTTCCTGAAAATGTGCTTCCAATCAACATGACTAAAAGACCGAGTTAGGATACGAATATCATTGATGATAAAGCTGACTCTCCATGGAATCCCTAAACGACCCTGCACAACTTCAATGATGAGCTTAGAGTCCCCCTCCACCATCACTTTAGTGAAACCCTTGCGCCTAGCACACTAGAGCCCTTCTCACAAACCCATCGCTTCTACTGCCGAAATAATAGTGCCATCAAGATTAAGAGCCCCTGCCCCAATCACGTGTGAATTACTGTTATAAAGCACAAAGGCAGCACCAACACGGTTATTTGAAACTGAACCATCAAAATCGAGTTTAATCACATCATGCTGGTCAAGAGGATATCATTTAATAAAGGAAGAGATAGGTAAAGCCTCCTTGGGGTCACATTTCCCATTAGCCTTGAGAAAAGCTGAACCAACACTACCAGTAATAGAAACACAACACGCCAGGACCGGGGGCACACTTCTGAACACCAAGTCATTTCTTTCCATCCAGATTTGCCAGCAATTCAGAATTACTTTACTAAGATCAGAAATACCATCTTTATCCTTAGAACTTAAGGATTCTAACCAATAAAAAAATTAGCATTAGTACTAATGTTACCATTATTAAATATACCAAAAGTTGAGCTCCAAACTTTAGTAGCAAAAACAAAATTACAAAAGAAATGACATTGATCTTCTTTGGCTATATTGCATAACAGACATAACTTATCAATATTTTTAACAAAACGACTTAAACGTTTTCCGGTTTGCAATCTTTCCTGAATCATAAGCCAATCAAACATTTTAACCTTACGAGGAATAATTAGCTTCCACATTATTGGTCAAACCCCAAATTAACTTGTCCTTCAACTCTTGTAGAGGGAGGGGAATGCGACAAATTTTTCTAACGATATCACCATCAACTACAGTAGCTAATTTAATGCTATCCCAACTATTATGAACTATAAAGTTGCTTACTTTAAGATTCCAATCAATATTATTTCTATCATTCATGGGAATTAAATGATAAAGGAGTTAGGAAAAACCCATTGATGGGTCCAGAAGAGTATATCTTCACCATTACCCACAATACATCTCATTCCCTCATGGATGATGTTTCTATTAGAAAGAATGTCTTTCCAAGCAAGTGAGTAGTTTTGTTTAATTTTCGAATTTAAAAAATCAGACTTACGTCAGTATTTACTTTTAATTATTTCACCTGATCAATTTTTCTTTGTTGGTTAAAACTTTCCAACCTAATTTGGCTAAACAAGCATTGTTAAAATGATCAATCCGTTTGATTTCTAAACCACCCTAATTCTTCGGAGAACAAACCTTCTTCCACGTGGCAAAAAAAAAAAAAATTAATTAAAAGGAAAGCTTAAATCTTAAAAATTAAAAAATTAAAAAATTAAAAAAACTAAAACCCACCTCCCGCAAACAAACCCAGAAACCTTACCCCCCCCCCCCGGTCCCCGACCCACGTCCCTCTCCTCCACTCTCTTCAATTATTTCTTGTTTTTTATTTAATTTCTTGTTAAATTTTGGAGCGAGCGGTGTCAAACGATGGAAATATTCCCCCAAAATTGCAAAGACTTCGTTCCAAATCACGACTTCAAGCCCTCTTCGACATCTGAAGCAGGTTCTTGTTTTTGTTTTATTTTATTCAATTTGCCCACTTTTTAATTTTTTGAATTACAAGAAAATGTTGAATTCGAGTTCGGATTCGATTATTACCGCTTCTTATAGTTTTACTCTTGTTTTCTAGTACAAAAAAATGTAGAATCGGGGAATTTTTCTAATTTGATTTCATCCCTCTTTTCTGCAGAGTTAAAATTTAAAACCCTAGAGCGATTGCAACAAAGTTGGACAGTGACGTGAGCGACAAAGGTAGGTAATTTCTGCAATTCTTAGTTTTTTAATCCTTAATTTTCAAAAAGAAATTGGGAAACTTTTCACTGTTACATTGTGAATTTCAATTGAGTAGTTGAGTTGTAAGAAAACGGAAAATTTTTGGGGGTCGTTGAAGTCATGCTCTGATTATATCATTGTTTTCAGAATGTACTCCAAATATTGTTGCCAAACTCTGATTATATCATTGTTGAAGTCATGCGAGTTCTGGCTGAGGTGGATCGCCGGGGGGGAGGGGGGGGGGAGGGGGGGGGAGGGGGCGGAGGATCTGGGGTGACGCAGGGGGAGGGAGGGTGGCGAATAAGGTTTCTCTGAGGTGGGTGAGGGTGGGGGAAAATAGATCTGGGTTTGTTGGGGGTGGGGGAAAAGGGATCTGCATTTTTTTGTTTTTGGAGGGAGGAGGAGATATGGGGTTTTGTAGGGAGATGGGATGGATTTTAGGTTTTTTTTTTTTTTTTTCTTTTTTTTGAAAATTTATGTTTTTTTTTTATTTTTTGCCACGTGACACACATTTGGTAGTCATGTGGCACAAATGTGGCAGCCACGTCACCACTTACCGGATCAATGGATGAAAAATATAACGAATGTATTATATTGAAATAAAATAGTACTTGAGGTATAGAAGTGAAATATTTTAAAGATGTATAGAGTTGTAATAGACCTCAAACCTGAGAAGATATTATGTAATTTACCCAATCTTTAATCATAGGAATAATAGTATCTTTTACCTCTCCCAAACAACCTTGGTAAAAAGTAGCACAAAGACCATCAGATTCAGGTGCTTTTAACGCACCAATGCTATTCACCGCTTCCTAAACTTCCTCATCTGAAATACATTCAAGTAGTTGCATATTATGCGCATGATCAATGCAAGGAGTTATGATATCAACTATTGTAGCCAATATCTCCTGAGAAGGGGAATTATCACAAGAAAACCTAGTTTAAACTCCGACACAAAAATTTGCTCTAGACCCTCCCCATAATTCCACCAGAAACCATTACTATCTTTAACAGATTTTATTTCATTTCTTTTCCCACAGATAGAAGCCACCATTTGAAAATATGTAGTATTTTTATCTCCCAATAGAAGCCACTTAACCTTAGTATTTTGAGCCCACATAATTTCCTCTTCTTGTAAAACTTGGTTAAGCTCACTTCTAATTTTAACCTCGTCATCCATACTTATAGAATTATCTTGATCCCTTATAATTTTATTTTGAATATCACATATAGAGGTTAAAAGCTTATCTTTATGTTCTTTGATATTACCAAAGGTCTCTTTGTTCTACTTCCTTACCAAATACTTGAATGTCCTTGCACAAGCAACAAACTTTTTTTGTGGCCTTGAAGTATTTGTACAAGTCCAAGCACTTTTGACAAAATTCCTAAAGTTAGGATGATGTAACCAATAGCTTCAAACTTGAAGGAATAAGGGTCTTTTCTAACAGGGTTTACATTATTAGTAAGTAAGATAGGACTATGATCTGATCCAAATATAGGAAAATTATGTAAAGAAAAGTCATGGAACTCCCTCAACCACTGAGGATTAGCAATACCACAATCAAGTCTCTCATAAATTCTAGTGTTGTCACTATGACCATTGGTCCAAGTATAAGGAACACAAGAGGCAATTAGGGAAATCAAGTCACCTCTATTTAGGAAATTAATGAAGTTATTCATGTAGGTAGTAGTATTTAGAGCAGCCCCTCATCTTTTCAGTGGAGCCCACAATATTATTGAAGTCTCCAATTAAATACCAAGGATGGTTTGTCGGTGTATGAGCTAAAATTTGATCCCAGAGATTAGCTTGTAAATGTTTCTGAGGATAAGCATAAACAAAGGCATTGAATTGCACCTTATCATTATGTAAATCTTTAACTACACAATGGATAAAACGAGGTGATGAGCTTAAAGTAGTAATATTAATGGAAGAAGAGTTCCAGAACAAACAAACCCCACCAGCTCTGCCAGTGGGATTGCAGGAAAAAACCTGATCAAAGTGCCTACTGTAGAAATTGCTTTGGACCTTGTCTAGGGACATCTTAGTTTCAAACAAGCAAAAAAGGTCCAGCTTAATCAAAGTACATAGAAAATTAAAATTACTACTAAAATCAGGTCTCCCAAGACCCCTACAATTCCATACCATGCACTTCATTGATCAATAATTTTGAGCTCTCAAAACAAACAGAATTAACAAAAGAACTCAGTTTACCTCTGAAATTCTTCGAGATTTAAAAGGACACAGCCAGAGTGGAAAACCGAGCTTGAACAAAACAAACTGACTTTTCCCCAACCTAATTTAACAAAGCCAAGAAAAGCCCCAAATTTTTGAATACCCTAACCCTAGAACTTGGAATCAGTTCAAAAAACTAGTAAAACAAATCAAGGGTTATAAAATAACCTTAAAGATTGTAGATAAACAAATAAAAAACCAGAAATAAAACCCTAATCGGCAAAAAGAAATTGAAAAATTTATAGTGAGAAGCAGCTGTGAAAAGATGAGATTGATAGAAAGCAATTATCAAACTAATTAGCACTACGAGTGTTCACACTATTTTGTTTATTAACTATAACAGAAAGATTGCAGGAAAAAGAGAAATAGGAGAATGCAGAAAATATTTCTTTTCTTATTGCTTTTGTATCGTATGTTTTGAACACTCGTAGTGCTCTATTTATAGAGCAACAAAAACTTCACTATTTCGCATATGAATCTTTACTGTATACATGTGGGCAAACATACCCACTGTTTACAACACTCCCCCTTGGATGCCCACATATCAACATCAGTTGCCTCGTTAAAACCTTACTTGGAAAAATCCAGTGGGAAAAAACCATAGCGAAGGAAAAAGAGTACAACTTTATCAGGTTTGTTGATATGGTGTTGAGCATGCTTATGTTGCCTCATTAAAACCTTGATAGGAAAAATCCAGTGGAAAAAATCATAATCGAAGGAAAAAGAGTACAACATGCATGTATCATGGATGCTCCCCCTGATTCTGTATTCTTCAGATTTGTAAGCCGACGTAATCCGATTCCCTACACTAACTTCTGAAATGTGCACTTTGGTAGAGATTTGGTGAACAAGTCTGCTAAATTTTCATTGGAACGGATTGACTTCAATAACTTTAGCCTTATGAAGCTCACGTGCACTGAAAAACCTTGGAAATATGTGTTTAGTCTTATCACCCTTGATGAATCCTTCCTTCATCTGGGCAATACAGGCTGCATTATCTTCATGGATGACAGTTTGAATGTCTATCTTTGAAGGTAGACCACATGAATTCTAGATGTGATGGATCATTGATCTTAACCAAGAACATTCACGACTTGCTTCATGTAAATCAATTATTTTCGAGTGATTAGAAGATGTAGCAACTAACATTTGCTTCATTGATCACCATGAAATTGCAGTATCTCCATTAGTGAACACATATCCATTTTGTGAACGGCTTTATGCGGATCGGAGAGAAAACCAGCATCTGTGTATCCAACAAGGATCTGGTCATTTGTGTGCTTGTCTGAGTAGAAGAGACCCATATCTGTTGTCCCACGAAGGTATCGTAGAACATCTTTGACTCCCTTCCAATGACGAATTGTTGGAGCAGAGCTATATCTTGCTAACAAGTTAACTGAAAAAGCTATATCTGGTCTAGTACATTGTGCTAAATACATCGTAAAACATCTTTGACTCCCTTCCAATGACGAATTGTTAGAGCAGAGTTATATCTTGCTAACAAGTTGACTGAAAAAGCTATATCTGGTCTAGTACATTGTGCTAAATACAATAAAGCACCTATTGCACTCAAATATGGTACTTTTGGATCAATGACTAGTTCATCATCTTCTTTTGGACGGAATATATCTTTCTTAATATCCAAAGAACGAACGACCATTAGGGTGCTAAGTGGATAAGCATTGTCTATGCCAAATCACTTCAGTTTTTTTTTCAATGTAAGCTGATTGATGGACCAAAATTCTATTAGCACAATACTCGATCTGCAGGCCGAGACAATATCTTGTTTTCCCAAAGTCTTTCATTTCAAATACGTTTTTCAGATATTCAGCAGTTTTATTGAGCTCTTCAGGGGTTCCAACTAGATTCATATCATCGACATATACTGCCACTATAGCAAATCCAGTATTTGTTCTTAATGAACACACAAGGGCAGATGACATTGTTGGCATATCTTTCTTTAATCAAATATTCATTGAGACGATTATACCATTTCGCCCAGATTGTTTCAGCACATATAATGATCGCCTTAATTTGATTGAGAACATACCTCGTGGTTTGTTAGTTGCTTCAGGCAACTTAAGTCCTTCTGGGACTTTCATGTATATATGTCATTATCTAATTCTCCATATAGATACGTGATGATATTCATAAGTCGCATGTCAAGTTTTTCTGAAATCACCAAACTTATTAAGTAACGGAACGTAATTGCGTCCATTACAGGAGAGTATGTTTCTTCATAATCAATTCCAGGTCTTTGTGAAAAACCTTGTGCAACGAGTTGTGCTTTATATCTTGCAATCTCGTTTTTCTCGTTGCATTTCCGTATGAATACCCATTTGTAACCCACGAGGTTTACACCAAGTGAGGTTTGGACTACTGGTCCAAAAACACTTCGCCTTTCCAAGGAACTTAATTCTGCCTGGATTGCATCTTTCCACTTAGGCCAATCTTGTCTCTATTTGCATTCTTCAACAAAGCGAGGCTCAATGTCATCGCCTAATATAATTTCAATGACTATTGCAAATGCAAACATGTCGTCGATGATTATTTCATTTCGATCCCACAATTTATTAGTACATGCATAATTTATGGATATTTCTTTGCTTTCATGTACTTCTGTCTCTTCAGGGACATGTGTCACATCAAGGACATTTTCTTTTTCAAGAAGTACATAATCATGAATTGTGGATTTATCATTCATTTTCTTTTCCTGAATAATTTCATTTAGGTTCAACTGTGCCCTGATCTTTCTCTTTCGAGGGGCTGAATCTTTTGAACCTAGGGGTCTACCATGCTTCAGCCATGCACTAGATGAATCATTCACTACCACTTTATTTTGTTCAATAGAGACATCAATTCTTGTAGGTGCATTTGTAGCTCGTATATGTGACTTTGTCACTTTCGAAGTATCATTAAATGCATCTGGCATTTGATTAGCAATACTTTGAAGATGAACGATCATTTTCACTTCATTTTCACATTGAATGCTT